TTTAGAGCTTGTTTTGACCAGACAAATGTGTATTACAACTTTAATTAAGAGTAAAAGATATGTTATTACAGTAGAAACTGCGAAAAAAAATTAATTGTTGAAACTGGAACCAAAGGCTGTCAGTATAGTTTTCTCAATGAGTTTAAAAGCTAGAAGTATAATATTTGCAAAATATATGTAAAATTTAGAGCTAAACAAGTTTACTTAAGACATCAGAACAGGTTGTCTTAATAAAATAAATAGTTATAAGCATTTTTTGATGAATGGATTTTTTAGTTAATTTTTGTGTAATAGATTTGCAGAAAGAGTTTTTTTTAACTTTTAGTATTTAATATGATATAAATAGTAAAAATAATAATATAAATAGCAATATTTTAAAAAGTTTTCTAATAAAGTTTTTATACTTGTAAATTGTTATTATTAGTTATATAAATTTGTATATAAAATTTTTAATCACAAGTCAAATTATTAATATATCTAAATTTTATATATAAAATTTAGATACCTTATTTTTTTATACTTATTTAGTAAGAGGAAGTTATTAGTTTAATTTTTAAATCTAAGTTTGTAAATTTTTTAATAATTTAAAAAACTTTTTATAAAATTTTAAAAATAGTTTATAAATAATATTAAGAAATATTATATCATAAAATTAGCTAATATATAGAAGGTTAGAATAATAATAATTAGACTCAATGTACTGAGCAGACTATAGTACTTTACACAGCTATAAAAGTCAAGTATACAGTGATCAACTCTGTAGAAGACAATATCAGAAGATCATTTTTAATATCTTTAAATTCTTATAATTTTTATATATATTTTAACAAATTTTTTCTTTATTACAACTTATTACTTCTTTTTTATAATCAAACTATTTAATCTCTTATACAATATATTAACAAATACAATTATAATAATCCTGTCTCTAGCATTACTTTTTTGTTTTTTTATTTTATTTTTTTTTTTAAGATAAGGTTATGCTTTAAGTCAGTTTATTCAAACATATTGTTACAGTCTGTATAACTTTTTATATTATATATTATCTATTACTATATGTCTATTTAAGAAATAAAACTCTGACTAATTTATTTGCAATCTAAACCTATTAGAACTAATCTTGTATCTCATTTACACATAATCTAGATTTTTGTTTCACATCCATCTATATTAGATAATCTGCATATTTCTCTTATGTCTCACAACCTATTTTTAAACAACTTCCAAATTGATCTGTTGGGTTGTTCGCTCCTTATGAGCTACCATCTTTGGTCTACCAGAATAATGCCTTATAGTTTATATCTTAAGCCAGAGTTCTACTATTACTGCTAAATTTTTAATTTAGATACTAGTAGCATATATCTCAAGTCAGGTTCCTGCTATTGCTACTAGTTTGTATTCTTTTGATCTTAGTATTATTGTAAATAAATTGTGTGACTAACTTGCTCTTTTAGTATTCCCTTTTATAGTAATAGTCTGAACCTGTTTTTTGAGTTATCTCTTTCAATTGTTACTATCATAATAATATTATTATTTTCAATTTAATATATCTTAACCTTAATTAGTATAGTATTTATGTTGGTATATTCATTCTTATATTATTATAAACTTCTATATAGATGTAATTAGTACTCTGGCTTGATATCTTTAAACATACAAAACAGGTTACTTTCTTTATACATTTTGACTATCTTCTATATTAGGATGTTTTACAGTATCAGAGATGTTTTTAATTTTGATAAGACTAATCCTTTATCACAGCTTATTCTTATGTTTATTGCTTCTTTTACCATTCTAGTCTTGGTTACTTCTAGACTATTCTTCTAATCAAATCCTTTTTTTAAGTTTTAATTAGAACTTATTTGTACAATTTGTTGATTATCCTTCCAAGCAAGTACCTTATAAGTTAGGTGCAGAAATGTTAATACTGTCTAATTAAAAGATGTAAGAATATTGGTACTACTCTAACTTACAGAGCTTATATAGGTAATCTTTTCATAACCATAACTTTCTGTAATAACTGCTTGTTATATATAGTATTTATACTTTATAATTGGGTCTCCTTTTAGAAATTTTTATTTTTATTATATACTACACTTGAACTTAATTACAAGACTTTACATTCAATTATAAGCTTTTTATTAAGTTACAAAAGTTAAAATTTTTTAATTTTGCTTCTAGCTAGACTTGAACTATTAACCTTGACTATAGAGGTATAAGAGCTTAACTGCTAAGCTATGAAACTTATACAGAATTACTTTTTTGTTAGTAACACCTATCATAAAACCTATATATATCTTTCAAATGATTTTTTTTTATATAATCATACTATTATTTACTTCCATTATTTTTTTATTTTTTACAATCTTTTTCTTTAATTAAATTTCTTTAATTCTACTTCTATTTTACCTGACCTATTTTTTAACAGTTATATTACATTACAAGTATTTATATTAACACAATCTTTATGTAACTTTTATTTAAATATCAGTATACATAATGTTAGAGATTTCAATATAGTAACTAAAAAAAAAAAACTTAGCAGAATTATTGTCTTTACAATAATATTTATATTGTTAGTCTTACTAAAACTAAAAGCTCTAAACATACTAATCTTCATTTCTATAACAATAATCTATTTATCTACTTCTGTCTTCTTTACTGATATGCAAAAATGTAACAATATACAAAACACTGTTATTACATAGATTCAACAAGCTTATCAACATAACCTTCATCCAATAATACTTGGAACTTCAATACACATGATAACACTTGTAACTCATCATTTAAATTTCACAATAAAAAGTTTTATTCTTCTAAAATGTTATTTATTTTACTTCAAAGTTAAACTATAAAAAAAATATACAGCTACATTTGTTGATTGACTGTGTAGTTTAGTGTTGATATCATGTATTGACAATATGGATTTTGATTGGTTGACTACCACCTAAAAAATCTCATGCTACTTTATCCCCGTTGTAAATCTACGTAATTTAAGGTCATGTGATATGGCCTGGATTATAATTAAAAAATCCAAATTTCGTAACGTTTTTAAAGCAAAAAAAAAAAAAACTTGTAAATATGAATAGATTTTTCTTTAGGTTTCGTTATCGATATTGTATGTATTGTATGGCACCTAAAACTTTCGAGGTTAATACAAAATTATGTTAGTCGATTAACACTATTTTTAATTATGCCAGGTTGACGGATTCGCCGAAAACGGCGACAGTTAATACGTATCGGTATGTTGAATTCATGTGATTAACTGTCCCGAAAAGTTTAATATAAACACAACAAGAAAATACACTTTGTAACTCGTAACGTTAAAGTCTCCCGTAAAGATAATTGAAGTAATCTGGCTTTACGTATAATTCTACGAAATGTCTAATATACGAGTTTCTTCGCACCCTCTTGTTGCTCACAAAATTTCCATTCTTCGTAATAAAAATACTAAGCCAAAGCAAGTTCGAGAGCTTATGCGCGAAATTGGGCAACTTCTTGGGTATGAAGCTACTGCAGATTTACCTACAAAGGTTACTTTTAATGTTAGTTTTATTTCATTCTATTAAAATACTGAGAGTTCATTGTCGCGTACATGGAAAATTGTGAAAGAATTTAAAAATTTCCTATCTTTGTTATACAACTTTTGCAGTTGGAAAGTCCTTTAACCTCTTATACGGGAACTGAATTAGCTACTAGAATCGGGCTAGTACCTATATTGAGATCAGGTCTTAGTTTTGTTGATGGTTAGAATTATTAATTTACGATTTAATTTGCATTTCAATTATTTCAATTATTTCAATTATGACAAATTCTATAATATTGTCGAAATAGCACTTGAAGACATGGTTCCAACAGCTAGAGTCTTGCATCTTGGAATTTTTAGAGAAAGGGTAATATTCCTTCACATGAAAAGGATCGCAACAACACGATTTTGATTTTGTTTCTATGTATAGATATCGCTTCAACCCGTAGAATATTATAATAAGTTGCCTTCGGAACCCAATGTTGATCAAGTTATAGTTTTAGAACCAATGATAGCTACAGGAGGAACTGCTGTTGCTGCAACCAGTATTCTTAAAGATTGGGGCATTAAATCAAAAATTAAATTTATTACCATATGCGCATCACGCCAGGTAATTTACTAAAATAATTGTATTAATTCATAAATTTCTTAAAATAATTTGATATTTTTATTTTTTTACAGGGTCTTGAAAATTTAATGAAACATCATCCAGACGTTGAAGTTTTTGTTGGTGTAATTGATGATATCTTAGATGACCATGGGTAATATTTAAAATTCGAAATTTTATATAATTCATACTTGAAAATAAATATTAATACTCAATTATTATTTAAAAAATTTTTTTATAAAAATCCGAAAGTTACGTTGTACCTGGCCTAGGTGAGTTATTGATTATCTCTTTTCATTAGATAAAAGAATATATTCAAAAATTATATTCTGTTTGACTATTCAATTGTTTTTTTTTGAAATTTGTAGGCGATGCCGGAGATAGATTATATGATACTCCACATGTGTGAACTATTTAAATTAAGCAATTTAATTAAAACGTTTGAGAATAGTTATAATCATATTATCGGAATTTCATCGTCGCGTGTATGTCATAACTTTGTAAGTATTTTCATAGTTATCTTTCTTTATACATTTACTGAAACGTAGTTTTTCCGTTCTGTTCAAGTATTTCATGTTCGATATTTATTATATTACATTATATAATATAATACAAATTAGTTTTAATAATGGTTTTATTCCAATAACTTACTATTGTGTATAGGGATGAGTTCGGTTATAACGATCAGTTAAAGTCAAATGGCTAATTTTGAAATGATTTTTTCTTCGTGAGCTATTAATTAAAGTTGTTTAGAATTAAACTCTTATTATACTGCCTTATAAGAAGAGAAAAGTAATATACCTTCTCTAAAATTCAATAATTCAAGAACTTATTGTCGGTAATAGATCGGTTATAGATTAGTTACAACCACCTGTAACCAATGATAAAATTTAAAAATTTTGAATTTTAGAGAAGATATCTTGTTTTTTTATAATACAGTACGATAAGAGTTCAACTTTGATTAATAACTCGCGAAGAAAAATTCATTTAGCAATTTAACTTAAACTGATTGTCATCAGTTATAACCGAACCCATCCTTAATTGTATATGAAAAAGATTTACCTATCATTTTCGACCTTTTCTCTTCTTCTTTTGAGGTGAAGCAGTTGAAGTAGTTGAAGTATTAGATCCACTTCCTGAAGTAGCTTGTCCTGTTACTGGAGCTGAAGTAGAACTAGTCGTAGACCCAGAATCGTTACTTTTTCCCTCTTTCAATATACCCCTAGATACTGCTGGGGAATGGTTGGGCGGAAATTGTTGTGGATTATTTTTTTGAACCTCCGACATTGTCAATGCCACTTGTTTGATTAATTCTTTCCCTTTTTAAAAAAATAAAATCTCAGTAAAGGTATCTTTGAGAATAAAAGCATATAAATCGAAACTTACGTGTCGGAATATTACTATTTAAAGGAATTTTTTGTTCATTAAATAATTGTACTCGTACCCTTCCGGGATTATCCCAATTTCTGGGATGTGTTTTATGCGGCTTTAATAAATAATATATATGAGCAAATGCGAACCGAGAATAGTAAAGAAAATTTAAAGAATTATGAATTAATAATTTAAATTTAAATTTTAATGAATTTGTGAATGATACCTCGAATACACAAGATAATCCCAATTTCTTTACGGATTCAGCGAGATCTTTCGCTAAAGGATTAGGTACCGCGAGTTCTCTTATAACTCTTCTTCCTTCTTGATGAGATTTAGTTGAATCAAAATAAACAGGATACAAGCATACCCAACTTTACAAAAAAGAAAATAAATCATTTAAAATGAAGGATAAATTAAAAAAAATTTTTTTTTTGTAAAATCATTTTAACATACGTTTTATAAGCACTATCATCAGTGGCAATTTTAGTGAAAGGCGGAACTTCAGTCAACTCAAAATCTGGGGGATCATCTTCCATCTTCGTTAACGAAAGGTTTGGAGGCGGAAAGCTTCCTAACATTGGATTTTTTTGAATTTTAATTTGTTTTTTTCCTTTTGTCATTTTAACGAAACAGCTAAAAAAACAAATTGAATACGATACTTCTAATCTCATTTGACTGTATGATAAACTTAGTTGATGTTACACGATAATACATTTAAGTACGTTAAGCACGTACGTCATCGTGTACATGCTATATCGATATATCGATATAATAATAATAATTCTCTGCTACGTATTCGTAAATTAATTAATTTCATATATAAGCAATTCACTATCATTAACTAGTCTGTTAGTTTAATAGGTAAATACAACATTTATTAATCGAAATATTTGAAGAAAGGTAATCAACTTCATGAATATTTACCATTACATAATTTCGCTCACGTTAATTTTAATAGATGGATATAAAGAATATTTATAATTGAAATGTTTAAAATAGACTACACCCACAGCATTTTACGAAAACATCTGGAAAAAAAGATGTGAAGTTGTCGCATCATGGGAAAAAAAGGTAGGATTCGCTACAAGCTCCAAGAAAAATAAAACCGCAGATTTAAACACCAGTGAAAGGAACTGAGTGAGAGGTGACATCCTTAAATAAAGAGCCAATATAACTCAGAAGCTAACAGAGAAGTTCAAGAAACATGGTTCGGTTCAATTAAAAGTTATATCTGTAGTAAACTGAGGCTATTTTTGTATAGCCACTTAGGCTAGCTTGGTATAACCCATGGGTCCGGGCTTGACCTCAACTGGGCACTCATAGAAGTAGCCGGAGGATGTCGAACCAGTAACATTAGTTAAAATGTATATAATTTATGTACAAGAATCTTAATAAAAGTTATCGGCAAGCTTCCAAAGATTAATAATAAAATAAGACCGTAGAGTCTCATTCCTAAGAACTTAGTCGATATCCAACTTCCACTTCTGCAATTATGATATCAGCAACTTGCAGAGCATATTGATCAAAAATCGATGAAGGTGTGAACAGTGTTTAAAAGTCAAATTTAAATCTATGTTCTTAAAAAGCTTAATTTAAATTATTAGTGTTCTCGAAAAATTTTTAATCTTCATTATAGTGTTTCTAAAGTGTTGTTATTTCTAGTAACCCAAATTAAAAACCCAATCCCAAGACCCTTTGTACCAATTTGAGTCAAATTAAAGTTATTGTAACATTACTTAATTTTATGAAATACGTTACAAAGTACATGATACAATTCTATAGATACAAAATGCAACCAATTTTATTTAAGTTGGGTTCGGGTTGACCCTAAACTCGACTCAATGACCCTTTTTGATATACTAGTTCATTATATCGAATAATTTTTTAAGAACATCTTGAAAGGATAAAATATTCTCAAATAAGAGAATCCTATTTTAAATATTAGTGTTCTTAAAAAAAATTGAATGCTCTTTGAGAACCATGAATTTTAAACACTAGGTGTGAGTAATACCACCAACAGAGGGCAATAACCATATTGCTATGCTACATAATTGATTATTAGTTTTTTTTTCTATTATGCTTACAATAAAAAAAACAAAGTTAAAACCTCCTCTAAAAACAATGCGAATAAATAAATTTCATTTAGTTATGTAGTTTGAGAGCATAATATCGTTTATATTAGGCATTATTTTCATTTGTCTAATTTGCGTTTATGATTATCTACCGAAAGTTATTATCCGCAGTAGTTTCATAAAAAATTATAAATGGTTTGATGAGAGTTTGGGTCAAAATCCCGACAGGACATAATCCCGAACCAAGCAAATCAGTTACATATAGTTTAATATAATAAAAAATTTTCATAATAAAATCACATATAATGCTGAGTACGTATAAGTTGTATTCTGATGAAAAATATCATAAATCATAGTTAACTCTAGCCTAACCATAAAGTTAATCAAATTATACGTTACAGCAGAGACAGTGCCCGATCCAACGTGAATCCCTCTCGCCTGTGATCAATCACAAATTATTTATGTTGGATTCAATTGTGATGGATATAATCCCTCACCAGTTCTGTTAGCTCATATTTGGAATTTTCTACCGAAAAATCCAGACTGTCGGGGTTTTTATAGCTGTTCTCATAAATTCTGGAGCAACTGATAAAAATTGATGAATTTGGTGTTATCGGATTACTGTAATTCCGAAAAACCAATTCTGATACGCAAACCGAATTCAAAAACTATCGATCAAATTTTTGTCAGTTATCGTTATCCCAAAACAGCTGTAATTGTCAAGATTTTCAATTGTCGGGATTTTTTGTCGGGATTATGACCTGTCGGCCCGCACTTTTAAATTTTTAATCCATCTGAAAATCTTAACATGGAAGTGTTTTGCGTGTTTAGTGTTTAGGCAATAAATGATGATATAGTCTCGATTTAGTCTAATAGACTATAGTAAGTCTTAAGACCAGTCAGCCTTAGTCTTAAGGTTAGGCCAGTTCAGACAAATTAACTCATAAGACTATAGACTATAATAAATCAGACCAAACCTAAATAGACCAGACTGTTAACATCCCTGAGCATAAGTTTAATTACAAAATGATATAGTGTAAATTCTCGAAATAACGGGCATATTTCGAGAATCGTGCCCTCTAAAAAATATATTTGGTTTTGAAATAACGCACATGCGCGTCTTTAAATAACGCGCGTTTGGTTGCGAGTTAACTTATACATGTCATAGAAATTATTTTCGGCTTTGCCGAAAGCATTTCAACATTGATTTTTAATATAAATTTCCGAGTTATTCAGAAATAACTCAGATATTTCATATCAAAAATCAATGCCGAAATACTTTCGGCAAGGCCAAAATAGTTTTTACAACATGTATAGGTTAACTCCCTGAAGTCGAAAATCAATTCATCGTCAAGCTTATTTTACCGACAATTATTTCATTGGCAAGTTTTTTTAAAAATTGCACTAACCTTAACTCTAATTATAACCAACCCTAACGACAATGACGGGAATCACTTTTGCAAAATAAACTGTCTGTGAATTAATTGTCGGTTAATTGAACACATCCAAAATGGGTCTTGTCGGGAATTATGGAGTCGGAGAAATAACATTTCGGGAAAGTGAGCAACAACGCGCACGTTCATAATAACTCTGCTCGTATAGTATTTTTTTTAACTTTCACAATAACTTTCACAATAACTTTCACAATAACTTTCACAATAACTTTCACATGATAATAGAGAAGAACATTCACGGTTACCATGTGCAGATAA